GTATTTGTTCCATCTTAGGTCAGCAGACAATGTGAAACCAAGCAGTCGCAAAGAGGTCTTCTCGTAGAGATGAGCGTCAGACATTCTAATGGGAGGCAGGGATGTTTTTCTCTGGTGAGTAATAGAGAGCAGTTCACAACTTCGCACTTTCTATTTAACCAATTCTGGTGTCATTTTATCAGTTAATATTACTAGCTGGTCGAATTGGGATCAGTGTTCTGCTTCAATGCGCCTATCACAGAGTACTCGTTTCCATTCCCTTTATATGTATCTTCTTCTTTCACCCTACGCTGTCAATCATTGTTGTGTTCGAAATCGTGGGTTCTCCGCCAATGGTTTCTTGGTGTGCTCATCCTGGAGCGTGTTTTCAGAGTTTTAACCGGGGAGGGGCATCCATCTCCAAGTTCGACCAGAGCCGATCTCCTCCATCAATCAATCTATCTTAAACATTTTGATCTATCTGTCTTAACCTTTTCTATTGTCTCTATCTATCTATCATCATCTATCTCTATTTATTGATCCTATTTATCTATCTATCTATCTATCTATCTATCTATCTATCTATCTATTTCAACTTTATGTATCTATCTATCTTTTTGATCTATATCTATCTATCTAAATCCTTTTATCTATCTATCTATCTATTTCTATCGATCTATCTATATCTAAAATTTTCTATCTATCTATCTATCTATCTATCTATCTATCTATCTATCTATCTATCCCAGTCTCTTTATCTATCTATCTATCTATCTCTGTCTATCTATCTATCTATCTATCTATCCCAGTCTTTTTATCTGTCTGTCTCTATCTATCTATCTATCTATCTATCCCAGTCTCTTTATCGATCCTAGTTTATCTATCTATCTATCTATCTATCTATCTATCTATCTATCTATCTATCTATCCCAGTCTCTTTATCGATCCTAGTTTATCTATCTATCTATCTATCTATCTATCTATCTATCTATCTATCTATCTATCTCTTTATCGATCCTAGTTTATCTATCTATCTATCTATCTATCTATCTATCTATCTATCCCATCTCTTTATCCTAGTTTATCTATCTATCTATATCTATCTATCTATCTATCTATCTATCTATCCCAGTCTCTTTATCCTATTTATCTATCTATCTATCTATCTATCTATCTATCTATCCCAGTCTCTTTATTGATCCTAGTTTATCTATCTATCTATCTATCTATCTATCTATCTATCTATCTATCTATCTATCTATCCCAGTCTCTTTATTGATCCTAGTTTATCTATCTATCTATCTATCTATCTATCTATCTATCCCAGTCTCTTTATTGATCCTAGTTTGTCTATCTATCTATCTATCTATCTATCTATCTATCTATCTATCTATCTATCTATCTTTCCAGTCTCTTTTATTGATCCCTCTTTTATCTATTCTATCTATCTATCTATCTATCTATCTATCTATCTCCCAGTCTCTTTTGATCTATCCATCTATCTCTATTTTATCATCTATCTATCTATCTATCCCAGTCTCTTTGATCCTAGTTTATCTATCTATCTATCTATCTATCTATATCTATATATATCTATCTCATCTCTTTATCGATCCTTGTTTATCTATCTATCTATCTATCTATCTATCTATCTATCTATCCCAGTCTCTTTATCCTTATTTTATCTATCTATCTATCTATATCTATCTATCTATCCCAGTCTCTTTATACCTAGTTTATCTATCTATCTATCTATCTATCTATCTATCTATCCCAGTCTCTTTATCGATCCTAGTTTATCTATCTATCTATCTATCTATCTATCTATCTATCTATCTATCCCAGTCTCTTTATCGATCCTAGTTTATCTATCTATCTATCTATCTATCTATCTATCTATCTATCTATCCCAGTCTCTTTATCGATCCTAATTTATCTATCTATATATATCTATCTATCTATCATCTATCTATCTATCCCAGTCTCTTTATTCCAAATCTATCTATCTATCTATCTATATCTATCTATCTATCTATCTATCTTTTCTCTTTATTGATCCTAGTTTATCTATCTATCTATCTATCTATCTATCTATCTATCTATCTATCTATCCCAGTCTCTTTATTCATCCTGGTTTATCTATCTATCTATCGATCTATCTATCTATCTATCTATCTATCTATCTATCTATCTCTCTCAGTCTCTTTTTATATCCTATTTATCTATCTATCTATCTATCTATCTATCTATCTATCTATCTATCTATCAGTCTCTTTATCGTCCTAGTTTATCTATCTATCTATCTATCTATCTATCTATCCCAGTCTTTTCTTGATCCTAGTTTATCTATCTATCTATCTATCTATCTATCTATCTATCTATCTCAGTCTCTTTATTGTCCTAGTTTATCTATCTATCTATCTATCTATCTATCTATCTATCTATCCCATCTCTTTATCGATCCTAGTTTATCTATCTATCTATCTATCTATCTATCTATCTATCTATCTATCTCAATCTGTTTCTGTCTATTCTGTTCATATCTATCTATCTATCTATCTATCTATCTATCTATCTATCTATCTATCTATTCAATCTAAAGAATCTCATTCTGTTTCATCTATCTATCTATCTCATCTATCTGTATCTATCTATCTATCTATCTCAATCTGTTTTTATTCTCATTCTCTCTCTATCTATCTATCTATCTATCTCAATCTGTTCTTGTCTCATTCTTTCTTCTATCTATCTATCTATCTATCTATCTCAATCTGTTCTTGTCTCATTCTGTTTCCCATATCTATCTATCTATCTATCTATCTATCTATCTATCTATCTATCTCATCGTCTCTTTATCTATCTATCTATCTATCTATCTATCTATCTATCTATCTATCTGTCTATCTGTCTATCTATCTATCATCTATCTATCTATATCTATCTCTCTTTATCGATCCTATTTATCTATCTATCTCTATCTATCTATCTTCTCCTAGTTTATCCCTATCTAATATCTATTTCTATCCTCATTCTGTTGTTTCTATCTATCTATCTATCCCCATCAATTTCTATATCATCTTTCTATCTATCTATCTATTATCTATCTATTATCTATCTATCTATATCTATCTATCTATCCTCAATCTGTTCTTGTATCAATCTATCTATATCTATCTATCTATCTATCTATCTATCTGTATCTATATCTCATCTGTTCTTGTCTCATTCTGTTTCATATCTATCTATCTTCTATATCTATCTATTTATCTATCTATCTATTTTATTCTATTATTGTCTATCTATATTCAATGTTTCTATTTTTCTATCTATTTATTCAATCTGTTCTTGTTATTCTGATCTATCTTTCCTTATCTATCTATCTGTTTTCTCATTCTATCTATCTATCATCTATTCTATATCTATATCATCTGTTCTATATATCTATCTATCTCAATAATAAGTCATATATATCTATCTATCTATCTATCATCTAATATCTCAATCTGTTCTTGTCTAGTTCATATCTAGTATATCTATCTATCTCTCTTACAAAGAATGTTCATATCTGTCTATCTATCTATCTCATTTCTCTTTCTGTTCATATGTCTATCTATCTCTATCTCAATCTGTTCTTGGTTATTCTGTTTCTATCTCTATCTATCTATCTATCTATCTCAATCTGTTTAATATTCTGTTCCATCTATCTATTATCCTATCTTTTCTTGTCTCGTCTATATATCTATTATCTATCTATCTCAATCTATTCTTGTCTCATCCCATCTATTTGTTCGTCTATCTATCTATCTATCTATCTATCTATCAATCTATTTCTCTATTCTGTTTTTTCTATCTATCTCTCTATCTATCTATCTATCTATCTATCTATCTATTCTCATTCTCTTTCTCTATCTATCATATCTATCTATCTATCTATCTATCTCAATCAATTCATATCTTTCTATCTATCTATCTATCTATCTATCTATTATCTATCTATCTATGCTTTTCTTTTTCTATATTTCTATCTCTCATCTATTCATTTCTATCTATCTATCTATCTATCTATCTATCTCATCTATCTATCTAATCGATCTATTTATCTATCTATCTATCTATTTTTATTTCTATCTAATTTCAATCATCTATCTATCTATCTATCTATCTATCTATCTATCTATCTATCTATCTCAATCTGTTCTTGTCTCTTTCATTCTTGTCTATCTATCTATCTATTCATCTATCTATCTATCTATCTATCTCATTTGGTTTTATCTATCTATTTTCTTGTCTCATTCTGTTCATATCTTCTATCTATATCTATCTATCTATCATTATCTATCTATCTCAAATGTTCTTTCTTGTCATCTATCTATCTATCCCGCTATTGCTATCCTTCAAGTCCCTTTCTATTCTATCTATCTATCTATCTATCTCAATCTGTTCTTGTCTCATTCTATCTTCTCTATCTGGTTATTTCATCTCATTCTGTTCATATCTATCTATCTCTATCTATCTATCTATCTACTATCTATCTCAATCTTTCTTGTCTCATTCTGTTTTCTTATCTTTATCTATTATCTTTATCTAATCTATCTATCCAGTCTCTTTATCTCCTAGTTTATCTATCTTCCTCTCTATCTATCTATCTATCTATCTTTCATCTATCTATTCTCATTCTTTTATCATCTATCTATCTATCTATCTATCTATCCTATCTATCTTGAATCTATCCCAGAATGCTATCTATCTCTATCTATCTCAATCTATCTTTCTTTTGCTGCCTCTCTATCTATCTTTCTTTAATCTATCTATCTATCTATCTATCTATCTATCTTCTATCTATCTATATCTATCTATCTATCTGTTTATTGTCTATGTTCTATCTATCTATACGTATTTCTTCCTTCCTAATCTCATCCTTTTCTTCTCTCATCTTGTCTCATTATCTTCTTATCTTTATCTTTCCTATCTATCTATTCATATCTATCTGACATAATGTATTTCTACATCTTTTTGTTACAATGGCTCTATCTCTATCTATCAATCTGTGTCTCATTCTGTTCATATCTGTCTATCTATCTATCTATCTATCTGTTTATCTCATCTATTATTTCAATCTGTTTATTTCTATTCTATCTATTATCTATCTATCTATCTATCTCATCTATCTATCTTCTGTTCTTCTATCTATCTTTTTCTATCTATCTAGAGGAATTCTATCTATCTTATCTATCTTCTCTCAATCTGTTCTTGTCTCATCTATCTATCTATCTATCTTCTATCTATCTATCTATCTATCTTGTCTCATTCTGTTCTCTTTTCTTTTTCGATCTATCTATCTATCTATCTATCTTCTATCTATCCCAGTCGATCCTAGTTTATCTATCTATCTATCTATCTATCTTGTCATCCTAGTTTTTTATCGATTCTGGTTTATCTATCTATCTATCTATTCTATCTATCTATCTATCTATCTATCTATTATCTTTCTCAGATTTATCTATCTATCTATCTTTCTATCTATCTATCTATCCCAGTCTCTTTATTGATCCTAGTTTATCTATCTATCTATCTATCTATCTATCTATCTAATCTAAAGAGTATCTATCTTGTTTATCTATCTATCTATTATCATCTATCTATCTATCTATCTATCTATCCCAATCTCTTTATCGATCCTAGTTTATCTATCTATCTATCTATCTATCTATCTTATTTTCTATCTAAATATCCTAGTTTGTATCTATCTATCTATCCTATCTATCTATCAATCTATCTATCTATCCCAGTCTCTTTATCGATCCTATCTATTTCTATCTATCTATCTATCTATCATCTATCTCTCTATCTTATCCCAGTCTTTTATTCATCTATCTATCTATCTATCTATCTATCTATCTATCTATCTATCTATCTATCTATTTATCTATCTATTCTATCTATCAATTTGATCTATCTATCTTTTCTATCTTCTATGCGTCTTTATTGATCCTGTTTTCTATTTTCTATCTATCTATCTATCTTTCTATCTATCTATCTATCTCAATTCCTCTTCTATCTATCTATCTATCTATCTATCTATCTATCTATCTATCTATGTCTCTTTATCAGGCCTAGTTTATCTATCTATCTATCTATCTATCTATCTATCTATCTGTCTATCTATCTATCTATCCCAGTCTCTTTATTGATCCTGGTTTATCTCTATCTATCTATCTATCTATCTATCTATCATCTATCTATCTTCTATCTCTTTATCTTCTTCTTTGTCCTATTTATCTATCTATCTATCTATCTATCTATCTATCTATCTTCCCAGTCTCTTTATTGATCCTGGTGGCTATCTATCTATCTATCTCTCTATCCCTATCTATCTATCTATCTATCTATCTATCTATCCCAGATCGATCCTAGTTTATCTATCTATCTATCTATCTATCTATCTATCTATCTATCTATCTATCTGTCCCAGTCTCTTTATCGATCCTAGTTTATCTATCTATCTATCTATCTATATCTATCTCTTTATCGGTCTAGAGGATCTATCTAGTCTATCTATCTATCTATCTATCTATCCCAGTTTATCTTCTATCTATCTATCTATCATCTATCTATCTATCTATCTATCCCCAGTCTCTTTATCGGCTAGTTTATTATCTATCTATCAAATCTATCTAATCTATCCCAGTCTTTTATCGGCCTATCATCTATCTAAAATCTATCTATCTATCCCTAGTCTTCTATTTATCTATCTATCTATCTATCTATCTATCTATCTATCTATCTATCTATCTAATCTATCTATCCCAGGCTATCTATCTATCTATCTTAACCTTTTTCGGATCTATCTATCTATTTTCTATCTATCTATTATCTTACATCTTCGAGGTATCTACCTGTCTATATCTCTCTCTCTCTCTTCTCTCTTATTCATATATATATATATATATATATATATATATATATATATATATACAGTGTAACCCGGATATAAGAGACCTGGATGGTAGGAACCCGGATATAAAGAGGATTTCTCTGGTCTAAATTAGAGCCTGTGTTAATGTATATAAAATAGCCCGGATATGAGAATCCGGATATAAGAAATTCTGCACAACATGGTTTTACACATATATATATATATAATAAATATATATATATATTATGTTTTCATTCAAATCATGCATAATTATAAGGATTATTTATAAAAAAGGTTGAACCAGACATATATAGATTTACATTAGACATTATTATTGTTTCTGATCTGGTATCTCGACTTTTCCCACCACCGAACGTCCCTCCCTGAGCTTTTTTCTAGACTCTGGTACGTAGATTTTATGAATTTAAGCGCAGTACTAGATTGGTGGCGGACATCCTTCACTTTGAAATTAGATTTAACCGTGTTCTATGGGGTTTCTTCTTTGTTCTCATTTTTTGATCTGTCTTCCAAAAGCCGATTTCAGCCAAATTTGATCAGCAAAAAATTGAATGCAATGTCAACCGTTATATTGTTTTCTTAATTCTTGTACTTTTAATCCTTTTATTTAATCCTTGTAACGGTTTCTTTTCTCGCACTCAATTTAATTTTGATCTCAGTCGCTATCTTTTGTTTTCTTAATTATTGCTATTTTATTGTCCTCTCTCTTAAATAGTTTTTTATCATATTTTCTAACACTCAGTAAGTGAGTGTTATTATATAAATGATTGCTTGACTTGATTTTTATGGTTTATCATTTAATTTAAAAGCAAAAACAATTTTTTTAGATTCCCCCCTGTAGAATTAAAATTCATAAGTCTCCTGAGGATATTTTTCTGTAAATGTTCATTTGGCTGTCATTTCGAAGCCCACGATTTGCTTAACTTCGATGACGATTTCTATTTTATAATTTTATATTGGTTTTATTTACCAATTTCAATCATTTTTATATCAACCTTATTATATTTAATATCTATCATCTATCTATCTATCTATCTATCTATATATTATATATATATATATATATATATATTTTCAAGAGTTCGTATCTATCTGTCCCAGTTTGTTCGTATCTATCTATCTATCTATCTATCTATCTATCAGTTTTGTATGTATATTAATTCCTATATGTCGTTCTACTGTTAAAACGTCAATATTTTCATCTTTGCTATCTATCTCAATTGGTTTTTATCTTTAGATGTCAAAAAACCATTCATCCATTTAGGCGCACTTAACACAGAAGGCGTCTCCCGCAAATTGCTCGACTTTAAAGTCCCGTCGATTTTTTTTTCATCTCTACAGCCGTAAATCGCAGCCAACCCGCTGAAACATAATGGTTTAAATGCTGCCTCTCTGATTATACCTTTATCTTTCTATGCATATTTCTACATACGTATTTCCCGCCATATTTTTGATAGAGGACGATTTGTTTCATCCAACAATTAACGAGGAGTATGAGATGTCTTCTGTTATTTTCAAAATTTTTATTCCGTTTTGTGTTATTTCCTAGTTAAAGCGACACTTTGTAGTCAACTCTAATGTTAGACAAACTTTCTTTCTTATAATTAGAAATAGGGTGCGATGGGCAAATTGTCGCCATTTATATTTTTGAATTTCAATTTATTTGGGTCAGTTAGGTGTGAAAAAAGAGCACCCAAACAGCAGGCTGTACTGCGCACCGCGCCAGTCCGATATCATTTGAAATGTCAATCTGAGTACGGTGTAGATTCAGTCAATATAATGGTGTTTGGAGTGATCGCTAGTGATGGCGACGTTATGCCCCAATTCCTCTTTCGAAAAGGCCTCAGACTCAACATGGCCTCTTCAAAATGTCTTCCCTGGGTCTAGAGGATGTCTGCTGGAGGAACTTATGACTTAACAGGATTCTGCACCATGCCACACAAACAAAATGTCTTACAGCCATCATCCAATGATGGCTGTAAAATGTTTCATTTACATCTAACCACCGAACTCCCCAGAGTGCAACACACTTGTTTATTATGTGTGGGGTGTAGTTGAGTGAGAGACCAACAAAATCCCTTGCAGTATCAAATATGAACTGAAGGCAAGGGTTAGAGAAGCATTCGCGTCCCACAAGAAGAAATTCATAAGTTGTCTCTAGATGTGGTTGAAGCCGATGACGATTTTATTCAGTAAATTTATTCTTTACTATTTCAAGATATTTTTGTGTAATTTTGGTAAATATACCTGTTAAAATGTCAATATTTTCATTTTTGCGGCATTTAGATGACAATTTATCCATCGCATACTATATTTAAAAAGAGATGTCAGTGTTTATTTTTTTTTTCATTTTTGGCGTCATTTAGACGACAATTTAAATTTATCCATTGCACCCGGTATATCTTAAAATGAGATGTCTGTTATTTTCATTTTTGGCATCATTTAGACGACAATTTATCCATCGCACCCTGTATATCAAAATGCGATGTCAATTTTCATTTTGGCGTCATTTAGGCGACGATTTATGCATCGCTCCCTGTTAAAATGAGGTCAATATTACTTTCATTTTTGCGTCATTTACATGACAATTTATCAATCGCACACTATTTATGTAATAAAGTAATTGGTCGCGTCGGGTAAAATGCCGTATTAATATTCCTAGCCCTCCTTCGTAATTATGTGTTCTAGAGAATTTCAACTGCCTCTTCCTGACGTTAAGTATAAGTGTCCTTTTTGTTTCTATTCTCTCTAAAACCTCATCGTTGCTCTCATGTTCCGCCTCTGGTATCCCTTGTAAACATCAGTAGAACCGTATTTCTTTTGCTTCAAGTCTCTTCTTCATCTTTGAGGAGATCGTTAAATAGACAATCATCAACATCACCAGCAGCAAGACCATCAGAGTGAGCCGATTGCACTGATGCTCACAATTATTTTTCACCAACCTTCCCGATTCTCCATTGCACCGTGTGCCGAAACTCTGTCGCCAGAGTCAGTACATCAGCAGTACGCACTCAGTGTTGACCTAATTTGGTTTAGTTTGTTTTTGTTTTTTACGGCATATCAACCTCAATGGGTTATTTAATGCCGACAACATTTTATTGCTGGTAATATGTTTTTCTTGAAAAATCTATAGCTGGTCATATTTTTTTTCAAAGAATGTATAACTGTTTGTATTGTTGGTATTTTTTTTAAAGTATTGCTGATAATAATTTTTCCGTCAAAAATTATTGCTGGTAAAAAAATGTTTTATTAAAAGTATTTCTGGTATTAAAACCTACTTTTACACAAGTTTGGGTTTTAACTATTTGCCCATAGCTGGAATTCTAACAGGTGCGACCACCCGGAGTCAGGGTGGACCTGGGAACACCAGCAATTAAGAGGTGGTTCCACTCTCCTCAAAACCTCCTGATCAGAGGCCGCGCTGTCGGACGTAGTTTATCGTCTTACCCAGGACACGGGTGTAGTTTATCGTCTTACCCAGGACGCGGATGTAGTTTATCGTCATACCCAGGACGACAGTGTTGACCTGAGCGATAAACGACTGGGTTGAGTCTAAGTCGTGATTATCTTTCAAAACTCTGACATTATTGGGTGGGGTATTAGAACAACCAGTAACCTATACTGACGGCAAACGGGCCTGCATACCGACAGACAATGAGTTCAGCAGAAATACAAAACTAGAAACGAGGTGTAAGACAAGGATGTGTCTTCTCACAGGACTTATTCAACCTATATAGCGAGGCAACTCTGAGGGAAATAGATGTCCTACCAGGAATTTTTTAGTGGCGTCCACAATCTTATAAGATATAAGCAGTGTGGAAGACGAGGAAAGAAAACTACAAAATCACCAAAAGAATGTAGTGAAGGAAAGAAAGAAGAAAGGACTAAACACAAACAACAAGAATTGAGAATGCATATTTGTTGGAAAAAGGATGAGCATAAAACGCAAATTACAAATTGGAGATACCAAAATCAAGCAAATCTACAAATTTAAATATTTTGGAGTGTTCAAACAGAGGACGCAAAGTGCGACACTGAAATCCGAAGACACATTGGGATAGCCAAAGATGCATTCCAAAAGCTAAGCAGAGTATTAAGAAACAGGAAAATGTCGTTAGAAACAGAGAAAAGAGTCCTTTACCGTTATGTAATATCGGTCCTCATATATGGCAGGAAACAAAGAAAGACTATTGAACTGTTACGTGATATCTGTCTTCTTGTATGGCTGTGAGTGTTGAACAATCTTCTCAAAGATGA